TCCGGGCATTCAGTGGTTGCTTTGAGGAAACTGACTTTCATAATACAAATGAAAGCGACGGCGACGAATTATCGAACAGTTTAATTTCTATCTCCCAAGTACGGGAAGCATGACGTATTTTTGCAACCTGCACTGGTGCCTCTAACAGGTTACATATTTGGAGCTAAATTGATTTGGGGATTACTTGAAATTGCACCAGGTTTATCTAATATAAGCACACATCCCAAACCGCTGTAGCAATCGTCCACTAAACGGTCGGTTCTGAAACCGTGCCACAGCATTCGCAATGTCCGGGCGGAGTCCGGTCTTCTGAAGGATGACAACACGAACGACTTCATATTTGTTCGCATTTAAAGTGGCCGAGAGATCATCTCCTATAAAGTAAAATAAATGAACTCGTTCAGCTGGAGCACCCTTCTGGTTCCTAGGTGCCATGCCAACGAAAGAAGGCACGAAGGCTCGGTTACTTCCAGTTTGCCCAAGAGCAGTCGAAATGCTCAAGTTGAGTTTCGATCACAGATCTTTCGGTCCGTAGGCTTGTCTCTTAACCACTGAGCTATCTCGAGATCTGCCATACGTGGACAGATATTGAAAAGATGGACATCCTGCCCAGATTAAAGTGTATATGACGATTCACTATTTAGCTACCGATCCGTGTCCGTTAATAACGATCCTTTCGAACCGAATTCTCACGAAGGGCAGTCGTGGGCGAATGTGCGAAATAACTGCTCATGAGCGCAAATATGGGATGGCACTTGACCCGAGGAGTAGTTCACTACATAGCGTCCAATTTCGGAGAGCTGAAAACGGGTTGCGCTGCAGCTATGAACTCCAAATGATAAGCATGACGACCTCAAAGGCCGTACCATACCATTCACCATGTCATTAACATCCATTGATGCGGGTTGCTCATACACGTACGAGACTAATCTTACGTACTGTGTTTTACTATCTACACTTATACGAGGACACGTACTTGTTACCTCGACTGATCGTATACAAGCTCCGCCTCGGGATTGCATTACGCTGTCACTATGATATGCATATTCGCCCCCCCCCCCCTTCTCAGTCCCTTACTCCTGGCACTTGATAAAACCATGCTCTGTCAGACAGTCGCTTGGCTTTGACTGTGTTTGAAATTCTTCCATTGTTCTGCACCGCTTCCTAGCCATCCCTTTTCTGTTAATTCATGCTAGCAACTGACTTCGGATGCATACTTCTCACTAGTTGTAGGTTTCTGCTGAAATTTACGGTTTTAACATTATTCCATTATTCTGATGCTTTAGCTTTTCTGTTATTCATGCTAGCAACTGACTTCGGATGCATACTTCTCACTAGTTGTAGGTTTCTGCTGAAATTTACGGTTTTAACATTATTCCATTATTCTGATGCTTTAGCCATGCGGGATCAACAGATGGAAAGGCGGTTGCAGAAGAACTGGTGGAAGAACGCCTAACTCGGCTACTGGGCCGATCTCTGATCGACTTTCTCCGTGAGTTACCGTATTTCCACCCCTAATCAGGTTGATCCGGAAAAAGCTTAACTTGTTTTGCGTATTAGACCTGAATGATGGGCCCGCTACTTTGCATTTTCCCAGCGCGCCGACTCGAATTTTTCCCTGGCACTTCGAGCATCCCTTCCTTAGTAATTGTCAGGTAGTTGGTCGGTCTAGCACTGAGGCCGTCAAGTTAGTGTTAATCGCGCTTTGAGCAATTCAGAGGTCTTACCAAGAAGCACAACTGTACCGAAAGCATGTCTGTGTGCGTGTTCATCTAGGTGACGCTTGAGCTATCTTATTTGAAGGTGGAGAATTTCTCGAACATGGCATCCCCTCTTTGTTGATTCTTCTTCTATTGGAAACTGCTGTTGATAATGGACTGCAGCTGAACAGCTTTTACCCAATCAAGGATGCCCTGCGTACTAGAATCTTTGAAACCGTTCACTGATTAACGTATCACACAACCGCAATCCCTTTTAACTGGTGTCATTTTGTCACCATGGAATGTGGATCACTTCAAAAATAATTCAGCACCGAATGATTTTTAGTTTCCGAAGCCGAATTGACCTGAAAATTGAGTAAAGATTGAAGCGTCATTACTTGATTGAAAGCCCCGAAGCTCTAGTCCACTCTCCTCATCTCTATGATTTCGTTCGTGGCGAGACGAGTATTTTGCAATTGCTGACGCTACACACCTAATTTGTCACGTCTGAACAAGCAAACTCATTCACATTTAAACGCGTTGCATGTCCTGGCACCCTGCGGGTAAGCTCTAATATGGATAGAACACGGGTTTATTATCGCCTCTCTGTTGTGGTATAACGCAAAGAATCACGCCAGTCTCGACCAAACGAACTTTATATGAATGCAACTTGTAAAAATCCCGCAACCAAGTTTCGAACGTCCCTAGCGCTTATTGACTAGGACTTTCTAACAGTCGGGTTAAACAATCAACACGACCAGGGCAGTCACTGCCTACCACCAACTGAGTGACCGCTGGAAAATGGTGTCCACTCTCCGAACATTTCACCGGAATGGACTGACTTGCTCCAATTCTGGATTTTCGCACCATTCCATGATTCCGCTACACTGGGATGGTTTGGGAAGCCATGTTGACTTTTCTGAGTTGTTTTGGGCAAATCTTCGTAATATGCGTTTCAGTTTCCTAGACCGCTTCATCGAATCTGAGGTCATCTATTTGCGAGTTTTTGTTAGCTTTCAGTGCACTTGTGAATCCGCGTATATCTCTTATCCGTCGGAGAGAATTCAAGTTTGTGCTTCACTGAATTTGTTGGTCGTGTGCTGTTTCTGTATTTTGACACGCTCTAGGTGAACTAACTCTGGACGTTTGCTGTCTGACTTTCATGCATCACTCAAACAGGTTCCCCGAACCCCACGCTATAATATTCTCTCTATTCATATCACACTAACAGGTGAGTGTAATCAGATGCCAACATCCCAGATTCTTATATCATATTTTGAAACGGTAGAATACATTTTCATAAGTGTTTTATCTATTGCCTGAACTTTTCTAGGTCTTATCTACACATTCAGTGGTTGTGAATCGTCAACACCGGACACAGACCAGGGCGATGGAGAGGGCATGGATGATATCGATATGCAAACCGAGGCCAAATCCACTACCTCTGTAAACCAAGGTTCTGACACACGTATAAGCGGAACTTTGGCACAGCTGTTAGTTGCCGCTTCCCGCACAAACTCACTTCACAATGGAGATGGTGCTACCGAATGTATGGATCCATTGTTTCTACATTGTCTAGCAAAGTGCCTGGCCTGGCCCGATAGCCTTACTTGTCTCAAGGCCTCTCAGTGGATTCCACCCTTGATTGATTTAGTAAGTCTTGTGTTTTAACTGATGCTCCCTTTTTGGCCGTCGCCCGATCTTGTTGGCCGTTTTACCAATGAAATGGGTGATTTATTGGCTGGACTTTCATGGATGATTTGCATTCTTCATGTGCGTGCTTTCACAGTTCTACGGCTAGTCACGTCACTAAAGCTTTCAGGTTGTCCATCAATATATGTGTGGGTGTTAACTATCTACATGTAGTCCTTGTGATCATTCCCATCTCGATCCACAGGGTGTTCTGAGACCTGCCCGATTCATCTCCTTTTGTACCACTTCCTCAGTCTAACCCACTCAACTGGAAACAATCATTTGTTAGTTATACACACTTTTCTTTGCGCTTGTCAAGATCACGACCGCTGAGCACCGTTACTAATGTTTTTGTCCTGAGTGGTAATACCGTTGCCGAATGCTTGCACATACGTAAACTGCATTTAATGTAGATACCGCCAGCTTTATTTGTGCCCTATTACCAATACATTCGTCCGATGTGTCGCCCCCTTGTCCTCTCATGAACTTACTAACGTGTTTCAACTACTGATTTTCCTGCTGTTTTGTATGATTTTTCAGTTGACACAGCCGCAAGCGAACGGTGTGACCTCTGGTTTACACAGGAAGTCCACATTGTCTGCCCCTCTGGCCGAAGCAGTCCTGTTTGGTGTCCTTTGTGGCCTTCATGTGAATGGGAAAAACACAGAAACAAATTTATCGGCTTTGTTGTCTGCTGGGCTCAAAGTCTACTCGGCTGTTGATGTATCTGTGGCAGCCGACCGCCTGCGAACTCTGGTAACCAAAGTGCTCATTAACGCATCGGATGCCGGTCCTGAACAATCAGATAAAGTACTTCAGTCCATCCAGGTATGATTTTCATACGATTTCATGTTTCTGTCAAAGCCACACTCCCCGTCTGGAGGTGCAGAGTACGGTTTCTCCTTGAATGCGATGAGACTTCGTTTTTGTTGTAAGACCGTTCATTTTTCGATGTCACCTTGCGAAAAAACTATATGGCCACTTTGTGGATATAACTATTCATTAAGTGGTGCCAATGTGAAACTCAAAAGATTCTTTCTGTCATCATATTCCTTTCCTGAGTGTGTCGCACAAGGATCTCCGTATGTCCCATCGGCGAATTTCCGTCATGCTCCAGTGACATTCGGATGTGCACCATCACGATCATAACGTGCGGCAAATGAGCTTCATTGTCCTTCTGGTTTGTAATCGATTCGTTTGTGGCTCTGAGGTGGTTGATCGGTGGTAATAAACAAACGACTGTCACGCTGTTGGTCAAATCGGTTCTGACTCTATTCACAGATCGCAATGATTTATTCGAGCCAATTCAATGGGCCTAAATATTCAGTGAACCAATCAATTCTCTTGGATGAGGTCAGGAAAGACCCACTAAAGCTGGTCCGTTTTCTCGTTCGTATTTCATTGACATGTGGCACGGATCATCATATAAACATCAAACAAACTAATCTGCCGAAGACGTGCAAGACAAGTGTTTAGTTTTGTGCCCTCCCCCATAAACAGTCATCAGAACTCATGATGGACAACATTCGGGGACACCAAAACGGTTGATTGTGCACAAGGCAGGCAAAGCTGGTTTCTTTCTGTTCCGATTCTGACCAAAGTTTGCTTCAACAACTGGTCTGTGGTCCCTCATGAGAGTCTCTCCAGGGTCTCGAGACCCAACAGCAGCTCCAGAAGACCGGCCATAAGAGGCCTTTTCGACAGAAGCCATTGAAACCATCTTACTGTCCAATAGTGGAATGAGCTGTGTGTTTGTTGAGATGATTTTTCAGCGTGTAACAGTGGGGCCATTGAGTCGTGTAGAACCTGTCATTTCTTGACTCCGAACATCCAGTCACTGGATTACGGAATCACGTGCAAATAATTCATGTAAGATTGCAGGGGAGGTAAAAGGCAACAGTGCTCAGCATGTTATCTTAATGTTCTGAACCGATGATGATTTATCGTGTTTGCGAAGCGAGAAGTTCTCACTGAGGCAGAATTTTCTGTTCGAGGGAGAATTGTTTGAATATTTCGGGACTTGCATTGCATGCTTTATTGTTTGTTTCATTATATAATCTTTTTGTTTGCGCGAACGAATTTCGACCTGGAACCAATATCGATTGGATCAGTCAGTGATAAGAACCGAATGTGTTTGACTAAGACACTCCAGTTGGTGGATGGAGTTGGGATCTGGCTAATCATGTGACGGTCCGTTTGCTCGTATCACTTCTTTTTCTGATGCGTGGACATTCTTTTCAGTTCCGATGCAAACCGCGTCAGTGGGCACTTCATACCTTATCATACTTTAGCCTGTCATGCTGGAATAATCCTGTTTGGTGCAAAGAAGGGATCCGCAGACTATGCCAAATCTATTAAACGAGATCTACTCTGGTTAGAGGGCGAGATGGCCCAAGTGTTTAGAACGCGAATTCACTGACGCGAAGGTCCGTGGTTCGAGCTCGACTTCTTCTGTCTAGACTTGAGCGACCTGGTAGTATCCCTGTCCTTTTACTTCTCTCGGGTGGCATGACAGGGGTGGCACCGAAAGGGAGCTGAACGGCTGCTATTTTTATTACTCTGCTTATTCCTGAATCTCCTTGTGAATTTCATGATCTTCGCCGAACAACCAATTTCGTCTGGTCTCTTCAAGTAACCTCTCGCAGGGAGGTTATTTTTTTTGCAATAAAGGAGTTGTAGGGGTATTGTAGCGCAGCTCCAGGTTCCGTGTTAAGGTGCTCAAATTGAATCTCGTCTGGACCCGTCTTTGCTCCGCAGTTTCCACTCCTTTAAGGTCCATATTATTTTCCTTGCTTTTCGCGTTTTTGAAGCCGGTTTTCCACCGTTTAGTTGTTAATTTGCTGGCCCGGTTAATGCGATATGTTGACTCATTAACCTTAACAGGTATTTCATGTGCTAACGTTCTTTACCCGTTTTCCTTGTTGCTAGCCGTATGTAAATTTGCTTACTTTCTATTTCTATTCTACAGACTTTCGAAACCAAACTATTCGATACCAGCAAACCCCTTACAGAAAGGGCGAAGCGAGAGATCTTCAAGAAGCTCATGCAGCCTATTATAGGGGTAGGTTTTTGCCGAACGGCATATTTATATGAATTTTCTGGTTTGAATTGATGTAGGATAGACGGAGGTGTAAGAAATCTTTAATATGAACCCAAGCTACAGCGGCGTTGGGCCGTGTTCTTGTTAGCTCAGATAATAGAACACTCTCCGGACAGGCCAGAGGTCGCGGGTTCTTGTCCCTTCTAAGGGTCCGTATTCAGGACCTTTCTGTTCAACCAGCTCAGTCAATGTAACAACCTTCTAATGCTCACATTTTTGTTCCCTCTTCTATACTAGTGTGATTCTACTGTTAAAGGGATATTAATGAACTCACTACTTCTCCATTTCTGAAATTTCACCACCAGATTCCTCTCAGCCAACAGTTTTGTGATAACGTCACCATTACTTGTCTGGCTCCCTTGGTCCGTTCCAAATGGCGACAGCCGGCCCGAAACGGTGGTGATGCATTCCCGGACAACTTTGGTCTCTCCGAATTATTTTCGAATTAATGTCATTTTCTAACGTTTTTCCGTCCTGTCCAAGATTTGTCCTTCCCAGGACCACGAACAGCGACAATTTCCTTTTCTATCCCATCAATGGGGTCATCCGGTTACCACCCGTGATTGTATAGCATGTTCCGCTTCTTAACTGATCAACAAGGACACAATCACTTGTAACTAACGTTTTTTTCCACGGGATCGTGGTGCTTGGTTCGCTCTATTAGTCAACTTATGCCATTTTCATTTATTCGATCAGACTCGACAGGTCTTATAAATGATTGGCGGGTCCGGCGGCCCGGAAGCCTGCTCATTAAATAAACCACAAACGGTTTAAGTGGGATCGAATGCGCTGGTGTTCCCAAGCCACTAATAGCTGTGTAAATCCGACAGAATATGCTCAGCGAGTCAACACACGGCGACCTGTCTAGAACCATCAGTCAGCCTAGGTATGATGGCATCGTTTCTATTGTATCAGCACTGATGTTATCCGTCGGTCCCTCGAGGTTTCAGCAGATACTAGGACATGACGGAATGTGAAGATATGGTCACCACAACTCAGACTCGGTCCGAATCCTGCTCTTATTCTTAAGTGTTGGCGCCAGGTGGTCGGTGTAAAATAATCGACACAAGGAGTGATTAAAGCAAGGTTCAATCCACTGTCTCTGTAGTTTCTACAATGACTGGGCGCCCTCTGAAAATCGACACTATTGTCGTATCAATTCAGTTGTCTATCACCGTCTACTTCGCCTAGATAGAGAAAAAATGTCAAACAGATACTAACTGAAGTTCTCAATTCATTATCCTCTGATCCAGCTTTCTCGGTTTTGCTATTCAGCCAACGCTAGAGATGTCAACAAGACAACTCCTTTCTTGGTAAGGCTCGAGTTGCGATCAGCAAGTATTAGTGCGCCAAGAATTCCTGTTCTGTCAGGCGTATTTTTTCGTGTAGTAATCGAAACAGGAGCGTTTCTCATATAGCTGAGGAATCACTGATTAATACGAACATCTCTATGAAATGCGAAAGTCGTACTTGGTCCCTAGCTCATCAAACATTGAGGAAAGCGTCGTCGCATACAACTCAACGATTTTGTTCAAACGAATTGTCATCGATACCTCCTTGGACCGGCACAACCATCGAATGAAAAGCGGTTTTGGTGCTATCGTCTGATCACTTTTCGCTCTTCCTCAATGGTCGAAAACGAAAGCAGTTTCACCAAACAATCAAAAAAAAAAAAAGAAAAAACCCCGGTAGACGCCCATCGTCCATTCGTTTATTTCCTTTACTGAAGCAAATGAAGATGATTATAACCAACACAACCACAAATTCGGGATTAACGTGAACAACAAATCTCAAATTAATTGAGAGAGAGAGAGAGAATAGATTTTGCACCCAAAGAGCTCCATACTCTTCAGAACGTGTCATATAATACACTGTGCATGGATATCACCAATAATCAGAACAATGACCAACTGCTAGCTGTTGAGCGGCGTGATCGTTTCACTGATGTTCTATTCTTTGCGTTTACTTGAATCATTATCTGACGAATGGTGTTAAAATAATTGATGATGCGTATAAGCTGCAATGCGGTTCGCTTGTCCATGTCGCTCACATCAATTTCCGCGTAAAATTCGTGATTCTGCAATTGATTAATTGCGACGGAAATGAACTGTTAGTGTGTGTGTGTGGATTCTGGTGGAGATTTTGTCCTGGCTCCACTGACAGGACGGGATTTCCAGTAAAAGTGAATGCGCTGTTACATTGTCACACTCAACCACTCATTTGGCTCTTAATCTGAGGGAAGACAAGACTGGAATATAGTTTGACTCCTTTCCACAAGAGAGTCTCCTAGAGTCTCATAGTCCTAAACTCCAAGAGATTTGGCGACGCCTATTTCATGGCATCATCACGCTTCCTACTTCGTAAACATTTGTGGCCGTTGTAAAGAAAATTGTGCCGATGAGCCAGTCACGTGATGGATACCGATCTATTAAGACGCATTGGACACAACCAGCCTTGAGAAAATAACGAGTGGAGCGGCACAACCTATATCGGCTAGGGATGATTTGGCAGGTGTTGGACCCGTGGGATTCAAGTTCTTAGGCTGACTGACCTGGACATTCGGAGCCAATTGTGGAGAATTCGTGTGTTAACAAAGCAGCTCTAAGGAAGACGGTATAGTTGACTCCAAAGTACAGAGCACGCAGTCGGCATATGAATTACAGTGCGCAAAGACATTATATATATAATGAAGGCTCCAGCATGACGGAACGCAATTCGAACTGACAGTGGAGTGAAAAGGAGCATCATAAATAACAAAACGCAACTATAAATTTTCATATTTAGACTTGTATTTTTCGCCGGAAGTTTTCATAAAGTCCTTGACAGAAATAATGGTGTCTCGATGAAAAGCTAAAGACGACGTGCTGTCAGGGTAGTTAACTCATGTGATGCTGAAAACCCAACACGAGATGCGAATCATTTAACTCTGCGGGGAATTTTACCTTGGTGCCAAATCGTTTCGAATCCCTGTCAAGGCGATTCAGGATTTATCACCAAGATAAGAAAAATCTAGCAATGCTTCACTGCATGAGGGGAGTATAAAGTGGATAATATTGTCATTATCATTATAGCTGCTTTGAACAATACAACATAGACTGCACTGCACTAGTATCCTATGACCCAAATGGACCAAAGTAAACTGAAGTTATAACTCAATTCTTGAGAATTACGTTAGAGTTGGGCTACGATATTTACTAGCGATCAGTGAAAACTCACCTCACTGGAAGACATCACAGTAGACCTCCTCAGCGCAAACCAATGGCTGAATAAAAGAAGCATACAGAGGCGCACATGGCACAGGACCAGACATACTGTGATCAGGATGAAGGGGAGTATTCTATCTGGCGGATTTGAATCGTCCTTCACATTTTCGTCCCCTGGTTACAACAAAAACAGTGGTAGCTTTTCAACAGCAAAAAACTCACTTATTCAACCAATATTGAACATTGATAAGTGTATATTGATGCGGCTCACGGTTGCTCAGGTGAATAAGAGGAAAACCATACTTCTGAAGGTCAGTGATTATAGTACAACCTTCGCTTTTCTAAATTTTTGTAAGTAGCTCCATTAGTTCTGCTAACCGCAATCGACCTTCGATTGCTGTTCACTTCTAGTCAGAATCTCTTACTTTTGGACCAATACCTTTTGGAGATACACAAGTGATTTTGGATCTTGTAGTTCATCTTGGACAATTGTTCGTGTGGACTGGCTTTTATTGCACCCAATGAACAGTTGAACCAGAGGCCGGAAAACCTCCATCTATCTTTATCTTACTAAGTCCATCTTGAAACCTCACGAGGCCTGATCCTTAATTAGTGATTAAAGTTGAACCTGATGACAAAGACGGTATTGCTAGTTTTGACAGTGATGTTGTCGCTGTTGACCCTATTTTTTTCATTGTTATTTTCCTCGCAACTGGTGTCGTTGTTAATGAAGTTGATGGTGAAAACGATCGTTCAGGTGTACCATACTTTCGGTGCCTGACTGTTCTGCGACCAGAAGGAAGCAAGAGGGCTGAGATAATGCCAGCTTGTTCAAGTCTAGACAGGGGAGGTCGAGAGGCAGATTTCGGGTAAAATGGTGAAATGGATGGACATAAGAAGAGTGGAGCGTTTAGATCAATAGGGCCCACCCAAGGCCACAGCAGTGTCCTGATGAGCAACGTCTATCATGCCAATCAACTTTTCAGGATTAAAAAGTATAGGACAGCCTTCAACTTTCTTCCATTGGACGCTCCCAAATAGGTAATACCCTACAAGGTGGCAATGAACCGTCTTAGGAAAAACATTCCCCCCATTTCAGTATGAAACATTTTTCCATCAACATCCCAGAAAAACTACATCTTGTGCTGGCAGCAGGTGATGATTGCAAATCACAAATACAAATGCCCAAGCAAAGCTGCAGCAACCAGGGTGGCTAAATGGAAGCGCGGTACTAGTGGAAGTGATATTAGGTTATCCGGGCACATCGGTCTTAGTGACAGGCTCAGCTATGCATCTCCACGCAGTTTATTTTGTAGTCCATTCTAAATTCGGTCATTACCCCCTTGACATCCGATATCTACTCCGTGTCCGATAAGAGAGTTTATTTTTAGTCCATTCTAAATTCGGTCATTACCCCCTTGACATCCGATATCTACTCCGTGTCCGATAAGAGCAACACACTATATGCTTTGCAGCATCCAGCTGGCGATTGACTGAAGGCGTACTCGAGTGGTTTGGAGAGTTGGAAAAGTTCTTCACAAAAGCTCACCGGTAGTGAAAAGCTCGCGTTTAGAGGAACTTTAGTATTTCCAACGCGCATGTCGTGATTGTGGCTTCGATTGTGGCTCTCCACCAATGGCTGGTGGCCGCGTGGTCCAACTGCGTTCACGGTTGATTTGCAGTTCATGGTTGCTAGGTTATGCGACGCGAACGTTTACGTTCAAATTTCGTGCTCGCCAGAAACAGTTCATGATCAGAACACAACTAAAGGAGTCTATCTCTGTTGGCTGTGCGGCGGCCATCCACTCCGAACCAACCGCCCAAGGAGCTAGGACGACCTACTTGAGCATTCATATCGCCTGCAAAGATCACAATGTCAGTGCTTTTTGTATCACCAATGAGCCCGGATTGCTCTTCATAGATACTATCCTCGATATCATAATTGCAGTTTGTTGGGGAATAAGCCGACATTATAAACAGGCAACGCTTTGTATTCCGAGGTCGACTGATCTGGATAACCGGACGGCGCAAAGATGACTAGTCAGTGGGATCCAATCAAACCAAATGTGTTCAGCTCTGAGGCTGAGTGCAACTCCCACGCCGTATATTCCACGAGTAATCGCTTCTGGGTCACCGGACAGATGGGGGGAGAAATGTGAAAGAGTCGAGTTCATCCGTGGCGTTCTGAGATGCACAAACACGTTTGGGTCTTGTATGCGTGTTTCGGAGACACAGTATACATCATTTTTAAGGAAGTATAAGGCTTTAGCAAGCATTGCCTGTTTGCCAGTTTGATATAGAGTACGCACGTTAAAAGCTTCTACATAGGAAGGATCTCATGGATTTAGGAGGGTTATTTCGTTTGCTGTTAATAGGCAGAGAGGAGCATAAGGCCCTTCGGTCAGATA